TAATAACTTTGGTAAAATGGACATTTAGGGAGTTACTTAAGGGTGGACTATGGGATGGTTATTAGTTTGTATTTGTGGCCAGTTAATGTAGTTTTCCCTTTCTTTTAGAAAAAATGGTTTGAGGCTTAAAGAATCTTTTATTTCCAAAACAATTTTGTACACAATCTGGCCCAATAAAGAGACCTAGTCCATTAAAGGAAATAGAAAAAACAATATAAAATAAAACCTAAAGAGAAAATGAAATATCTAGATGAAGAGGCGTCGTCAATCGCCTGCATCGAAGGAAAATGAAGAGGCTTCGTCAATCGCCTTCATCGGAGGAAGATGAAGAGGCGCCGTGAATCGCCTTCATCGGAGGAAGATGAAGAGGCGTTGTCAATCGCCTTCATCAGAGAAAGATGAAGAGGCGCCGTCAATCGCCTTCATCGGAGGAAGATGAAGAGGCACCGTCAATCGCCTTCATCGGAGGAAGATGAAGAGGTGTTGTCAATCGCCTTCATCGGAGGAAGATAAAGAGGCATCGCCAATCGCCTTCATCGGAGGAAGATGAAGAGGCGCCGTCAATCGCCTTCATCTTAAGCCAATTAAACTCTTCCACAACGCTCTGCTACCTCAAATAAAAAAGAATCTTACAGTGAACAAGTCGTAGATAAGCTTCATGAGGTGACGTTGTTTCAACTACATCTTTCAAGCTAAGTATTTCTATCCTTCCTGAACCTTCATCTTCATTCTCTTGAAATACTTAGATCTAGTCTTATAAGTTAACTTTCTTGCATAGATTCTTATCCATGAATATGTTCACCACAAAGATCGATCTTCTTGATCTCAGAAGCTTATGATTGGGATGCTGCAAAGGAAATCTCAGGTAAAATCAATTTTTCATTTATAGATCTGAACTCTATGGATTGAAATCCAATTTTTTTTAATACCACCATCAAAACTCAAATTCACAAAAGATTACTTATTTTAGTGGGGTTATGTTTAGATCTGGTACTCCTCTGCATGTCTGTTTGAACAAAAGAAATCTTTAGTTCATCGACCAGTTCTGTCACTCCCCGAGCATATATCCTGGGTGTGGCTGACTGTCGGAAATCACTATTGGTCCCAAGTAAATCCTTGGTCTGACTTACTATTGAATGGAAGGCTAAACACTTATGTGGAAACTTTAAAAGTGATAAACATTCACACATCTGAACATGTTTTATGAAAAATCTTAAATATAAGTATGAATCATCATAATAATAATCTTTAAAATATCTGAAGATCAAGATATAGCTGACTCACTAACTTGTCTATGAAGCCTCTGCTGAACTAAGATAGGTTATGGGACAAGATCCACGACTATCTGGATAATAAATTAGAATGTCTACTAAATGATGAAATAAATAACGGATCTGGAGCCCTCCGATAGGAGCAAAGTTTAACATCCGGCGATTTGAAATAATTATGAAGAGGCTTAGAATTGGAAATAATCATTTTTGGAAAGATTTAAAAATCTGGAAATTTGGCTAAGTATGGAAAAATGTGAGTTTTTGGCCAACTTTGAGCAGTCATAACTTCTATCTCAGGATGATTTAGGTGTAGTTCCAGTTATGGTTGCAAAACTCGTGGAATGGTCTTTCCAACGCCGCTGAGTTTGCTCGATTCCGAGTTTGTATGAGCGAGTTATGCCCTTTTAAAGTTGGGCAGTTGGCAGGGAATCCGTCCGGAAATTTTAAGGGCATTTTGGTCTTTTCCCTAGCCATTTATTTTGGGGTTATATTGTTGTGTTAGGCTTATTTTGGATCATTTTTGTCACATTTTAAAAGAGTGAGAGCTAGGGCTTGAGAGTGAAGAGGAGAAGAAGAGGAGAGAGAGGAGATCAAGCAAGAAGTTTTCGTCAAGGATCGTCGTGGATATCGTCGGGGGTGATCCCTAATAGGTATGTGAGTCCATAGGGTTGGGTTGGTTCTTTCCCCCACCCTCCAAACTCATTTTATTGTCAAAGAAGGATTTGGTTGTGTTGTTGAAGTTGTTGGTTGTGTTGTTGATGTTGTTGTTGGTGTGGTTGAAGTCCCTTGTTGTTTTGGGCATGTTTTTGGTTATGTGTTGAGCTGTATCTATGGTATGTTGAGGGATTTTATGACCCTTAGTGTTTGGGGTTGAAACCCTTGAAGTAAGGGTGGTTTAGAGTTGGCAAAACAAGGGGAGAAAGTCGAGTTTTCTGGGCAAGGGGTTGGCGCGTCACGCCTGCCAGCGCGCCCCAAAAGGGATTCTGAAGTTTCCCCCTTGGGGCAGCGCGCCTCTCAGAGCGCCAGCAGCCCCCCTCTGAAGTTTTGGGGCTGGCGCTCTGCGCCTTGCAGAGCGCCAACGACGCCAAGTTCCCCCATTTTTTTCACACTTCCTTATGCATGTTCCTAGGTATTGTACTTATGTTTCCTAGTTGTTTCCAACACTTCAAGTTGCGTTTAAATGTCAAGAACTCATCCATAACATGTGATTATATACCTTGAATTCATAATTCAATTCAAGGCGAGTTAGTATCAAGTTAAAGAGAAGTTAGAGTCAAGTCAAGCAAAGTTAAGAAGTTAGTGCAAGCAAGTTTTCAAAGTTGTTCAAGAGTCTTTATTGAGCGTTTTCACTTCATTCTAAGGCTCAAGTTGCAAGTCAAGTAAAGAGTAAAGAGTTCAAAGTTGAGTTCATTTCTCAAAGTTATTAGGGAACTATGTATTCCCAAGGAATTTTTAAAGAAATTTTTTTACATTTAAACAAGGTTGGAAACTGAGATTTCCAAAGAGCCTTCGGGCTAGTTTTTGAATAATTATCTCAATCAGCAGGAAGTATATGTTTTAAAAACATAAGAGCCAGTACATTTTTGGGAGTAGTATCGAGCACCGAGTTTGGGGTGCGTTCAAGGAATCCACAGCCCCCATCGAACCATGTTAGCCACCATGGGTAGAAAAGGATCATACTTTTTAGATGAATTCTTTTCCAGATAGACTAGTGGATCCATTAGGCAGTTCAGGTCTTATACCTTTGGCCGGGTATAAGATGCTCTGGCAGCGTGAGGTCGATCGATGTATCATCACTATAGCTCCATGTGATGGTTGTCGGTTAGAGAAACTCCCACAGTAGATATTGTAATTTTTATACACGGAAGGTATTGTATTTTTATATACATCAGTTCATTTGTATTTCTATATACATCTCAGGCTTATTGTATCTTTGTATACACACAGAGTTTATAGCAGGTTTTAAACAGTCTTTCTTTATATTGCACTTGTTTTAAAATTGTATTATATTGAAGGGAGTCAGTCAGGTTGAGTGAGTTGAGCCAGGTAAGCTATTCAGTTTCTTCCAGTTTTCCTTCTAGCCTTTGTTGCTTAGTTTTTTTTTCCAGCTCGCATACTCGTACATTCAATACTGATGCCAGTTGGCCTGCATTTTATGACGATGTAGACACAGGTACCCAGGGTCAGCATCCTGCATGCCGTTGATCCAGTTGAGCACTCTAGAGTCAGTGGTGAGCCTCATTGCTTCCGGAGGACTCGATTGTTTTGTTCTTTTAGTTTTGTTTAATTAGGGTGTTATGGGGTATGTCCCAACATCCATCTTAGTATTGTAGAGGCTTCATAGACAGTCAGTCAGTTAGTATTGAGTCTCTCATCTTTGTATTTATGTAAATATTCTATTTTGAGACTCGAGTTGCCTTTTGGTATGTTTATGCATCAGTTGGTTGTTTTTTATAACCTTTTCATTGCATTGAGTTGTGCTGTTGACTTAAGTTTCCGCTGAGTTAAGAATGCCAGGCCAAGGGCTCGCTTGGGGCCAGTTATGGTCTCCGAGTGCCGGTCCCGCCTAGGGTGTAGGCTCGGGGCGTGACAAACTTGGTATCAGAGCAGGGTTTTCAAGAGTCCTAGGGAGTCTATGAAGCCGTGTCTGTAGAGTCCTAGTTATCGGTGTGAAGCGCGCCACATCTATAATTGAGCCAAGGTAAGTGTTCTCTTGTACTCTTTTCAAGCTTAAGTTGTGGTTTATTTTTCCAGCTCGCATACTCGTACATTCAATACTGATGCCAGTTGGCCTGCATTTTATGACGATGTAGACACAGGTACCCAGGGTCAGCATCCTGCATGCCGTTGATCCAGTTGAGCACTCTAGAGTCAGTGGTGAGCCTCATTGCTTCCGGAGGACTCGATTGTTTTGTTCTTTTAGTTTTGTTTAATTAGGGTGTTATGGGGTATGTCCCAACATCCATCTTAGTATTGTAGAGGCTTCATAGACAGTCAGTCAGTTAGTATTGAGTCTCTCATCTTTGTATTTATGTAAATATTCTATTTTGAGACTCGAGTTGCCTTTTGGTATGTTTATGCATCAGTTGGTTGTTTTTATAACCTTTCATTGCATTGAGTTGTGCTGTTGACTTAAGTTTCCGCTGAGTTAAGAATGCCAGGCCAAGGGCTCGCTTGGGGCCAGTTATGGTCTCCGAGTGCCGGTCCCGCCTAGGGTGTAGGCTCGGGGCGTGACACAAAGTCTCACTGAAATCTGATGGAGAGGATCTCAGTGAAGCGTCTGCTATCGATCATGAGTTTATGTATTTGTATCATTAGAAGATATAGCACCAAATGGCGTTAGAACATGAAATGTACGGTATGTAAAATAGTTGAATGAAACACTTGTTAGACTGAACATACATAATTGAGGAACAACTCAGAGAAAGAATGAATATTGGATAATTGTGTAAAGTAAAGCATGCCAATGCATTAAAAACAATAAAGCTTTACAGCTTAGATATATGCAATGATATCAAATGCTAAAATAGTATACTTTACTTTTCTTGGGAGTTTCTCTAACTGACAACCACCAGTATTAGCATCATGATGATACCACGTCTTGCCCATATTGCCAGAGTCATCCAACACTTTGTCAGGGTAAATGACAAAGTGAACTAATGGATGCAATGTCTAGGCCCTTACCAGGGGCTTTATGATGAGTTATCCGAATCAATGACACGATCTTATCCTACGCTAGATGGTCAATTATGGGGTTTGGGTTATCTAAGTCCTTACTCAACTCGATGCTCAATACTACTTCCAAATCTTCCGATTCTGTCTAGCTACATCAATGAAAGACTCATTCTCAGTCCATAATTTAAGAAATCTGAAAGGTTTCTTATGCCTCCCCCCTTGCTTCAAGAGTTGAGAACATAGGACCATGATTTGAATTAATTCTTACTAAATGTTCCACCTCCAGGTGATCAAATCATCCTTGCAACCCCTGATTAGTGATCAATCTATCCAACCTTTTAAATATGCAATCATTCTCAGATCCATCATTCCACCATGTAAATGGACTTTCTTTGAATTGTATTTTTTGCTAAGTCATAAGAAGAAATGCAATTTTCAAAATCTTCATGTTCAGAGTCAAGAGCAGGTAAACCTCCAATTTTTTCCTCTGAATTTAGAAGTACATTAGAATCCCCCAATTTTCTATTTGAACTGGTTTGGGAACGACCATGATTAGGGGTGTTCATGGGTCGGTTTGACTCGATTATTGGTCAAAATCAAAATGAAACCAATTTAATCGGTTCTTGAATTATCAAAATCAAACCAAATATAATATACATTTATTGGTTTGATTGTTATCGGTTTTGGTTCGGTTTGATTCAGTTATTAACCATACACAAAAAATCTTTAAAAAAAGATTCATTCATAAGAGAGAAAAAAGATACAAGAAGAAACTTAATAACAAGAAATAAATAAACAACTTCAATGATAAGAGCATGTCCCTTTTGGTTAATGTCTTTATAACGACCCGTTAGGCCGTTTTGAGTACTAGACTATATTTCTTTAATAAAAGAACCTTTCCGTAAATTTTTAATGAGAATCTTGATTTGTTCGTTTAACTACGGTTATTTGGTTGATGGGTATTTATCAAATAATTAATTTTTAGTTGATTATAAATGAGTCAAGTATAAAATTTATTTAACAACCTAGCCCATCTATAAAAGAAGTACTAAGATCAAGAGACAAATGATGAAAGAAGATGAATTTTAAAGTAGATAAGATTTGGGAATGACATAACTGTAAGGAACAAAACTTATGGTATCACGATTCAAGACTACCCCTAGTCGTAACACAATACGCTTCATAAGTGACCCCAAGCCAACTCATTGTCGGACATGACACTAAGATTCATAAAGACAATAACTGAAGATAACTGATGTAGAAACTAAATTGAGATGAATGAGCAAGAATGCAAAATTGGTGTTGTCGCCATTGCCCAATACCACCAGCACATATATTTCCAGGTAATGCATTGATGACACTCTTCCAGCATCGCCTGGATAGAAATACTCTCTGAATCGAATTTAGATGTTAAAAGGACTGTCTGGGACCGAACATGGGTACATCCTGTACCCAAAGTCAACAACCCAACCCAAAGGGATCTTGTACTTGTAATTCCAATGTCAGGATGTACCCATGTTTTGTCCCAGATAGTTCTTTTAACATCTAAATGCGATTCATATAGTATTTCTATCCAGGTGATGCTGAAAGAGTGTCATCAATGCATTACCTGGAAATATATGTGCTGGTGGTATTGGGCAATGGCGACAACACCAATTTTGCATTCTTGCTCATTCATCTCAATTTAGTTTCTACATCAGTTATCTTCAGTTATTGTCTTTATGAATCTTAGTGTCATGTCCGACAATGAGTTGGCTTGGGGTCACTTATGAAGCGCATTGTGTTACGACTAGGGGTAGTCTTAAATCCAAACTAGTTTATTGAGTTTACAAGTCAACTGAAATAAAGAAACCAACTCCTAAGGATTAGGGATAAGATAGAAACCAATTTATTGTTAAACAGTAAATAACTACCCTATAATACAGATAACTTGGACAGCTGCAGTTCTTATGCATATTTCTAACTCTTTTCATTATTAACAATTTCACTTTTTTGCACTGCTACTTCTGATTTGTTGGGAACTGAAATTACATTATATATCATATGTACCCTCTCCCTATTGATTTACTACTAAAACTTGTTGGATCTCCTTATCTTCTGCGAAGGTCTCTTTAACATGTGAACTATTTTCCCTTCATTGTCATTCATATTAAGCCGCTGATCAATTATTGCATTTTGTTGTGGTGTAGGAATTGTAGTCAAAATTGGAGCCATTACAAGAGCATCTTGCTTAGCTCTTACTTCTGTATCTGAAACTTTCCTTGTTGATCAAAATCTACCTCTGTAATTCCCTATTCTCTCTGGAGATTTCCTTTCTTCTTCATTTTTAATCTTTGCAATCTCATTTTGTTATTGTGGTGCAAGTACTGCAACAATTCACATTGGGAGACACTAAGATGGAATAAAGGTAGAAACAATCTATCAAACGTTAACTCAACAATTTGAAAGGACACTTGTTGATAAAAGTGGGAGAAAGTTGTGATCGAAATAGAGCCCTTTCAAACAATGAAACTCCTTACTATCATCCTCATCAATACTGCAATATATTAAATACAGAACGGTTAATAATCTCGACTCAAAATCTTCAGGGGAAAATTTGAAGAAAGCAGAGGAAGTTGGTACAAACAAATAGAATTCTGTTAAAATAGTGTTGTCTGCAGCAAGTTTGACGATGACAGGGAGGCTAGAGAAGTACTTTCCGCAGAATTCGAGCCTGACGTGTTTGTACAATTTGCGGTCATCCAATGTGATGCCATTTTCTGGAAAGAAGAGAAGTTGTTGCTCTCTGTTTCAGAGTTAGAGAAGAGAGGATTTTCCTGTTGGATATCATTTGGTAACACTGAGAATATTCCATCAAGACCTATGGAAGCTATGAATTGCAACTCTATTGACTTACTATTAAGGAAGAATATAAAAAGCATGAAGAGGCTTCGTAACAGAGGAAATGATCAGGCCGATGAATCAAGCAAATATAACAGAGGAAAACAGAGACTATATCTGTTTTTATTTAACCATCAATTTTCATGGGAAAATCGACAACAAAAACAGTCTGCCTGTAAACTGTCCAAATATAGCCTGTGGTCGAGGGGATTCTCTAATGGAAGTGTCTGGAAAGTAAAGCATGAAGAGGCTTCGTAAGTATACATAAAAGAGTAGAACCGACACATCAAAGGTAAGTATATTGTAGACGTTAACAAAAATAGACAAAATGCAACATCGATGTGTATTATGAGGCAATTACCATTGGAACTCCAAGCGGTATTGTTTTGTAGCTGATTGGAGGATCTTAAAATCTTTCAAGAAATAATGCCAACACATTTTATTACTATGCTTACATCGCTTGCTGCTTTCCGATTTCCTTTTTCTAGTTTTTCAGTTTTTCAGTTCGTCTAATAGGACCTACATAAACATGACGTTGGAAAAATGGAGAAATATAATTGAAGATAGAAAAATATTAAAGCGAAGATAACATTGTGGGATACATGTGTAAAGTTATTATACTTTGGTGCATCTGAATTGACTCCTACTAGCAAAGTCCGCGAATAGAAGTAACTAATCAATTCATCAATCAAAGATTCATATCAAGCACGTCTATTAAGGTCAAACTCTCCAATTCAGGACTCATAATTTTGATTTTATTCAATCCTTTACATAAAGGAAGACATAAGGATTTTATGGAGGAAACCTCATGGTGAAATCGGTGGGGAATGTTTACACAATTTAGATTCAGGACTTGTAGCTTAGTACAAGCGCACAAATCAACTTCCAGTTGTGCTGATGAATTAAACAAGTGAAACTCAAGCAGATTTCGAGCTTTTATTTCTATTTCCCTTAGATATGTACTGCCACAATTCATATGAACCTTTTTAAGTTGATTTTGATGAGGCACTGAGATGGAATAAAGGTAGGAACAAGACATCAAAGTTAACTCAACAATAGAAGGGCACTTGTTGATAAAGTTGGACAAAGTTGACGATTAAATAGCAACGTGATCGAAATATATCTCTTTCAAACAAGGAAGATATTCTTAATATCATTCTCATCAATATGACAATATTTTAAATGCAAAACAGTTAATAATTTCGACTCGAAAACTTCAAGGGAAAATGGAAAGTAAAGCAAGGTAATTGGTACTAACAAATAGAATTCTGTTATAGTAGTGTTGTCTGATGCAAGTTTGACGATGATAGGACGAAGAGTATGACAATTTCTACAGGATGCGAGTTTATCTCGATAGCAGTATCGACAATATTTGTGTTAATCATGATGTGTTTGTACAAATTTGTGATCGTCCAATGATGTTATCATGTCATGCCAAATCTCGAAACAACACAAGTTGTTGCTCTTTCTTTCAGATTTAGGCAATACAGGATTTTCAGACCGATATCATTTGGTAACTCTGACAATATATCATCACAAACAATGGAGGCCATGAGACAAATTTTGTTAGTGGTTTGTAGGGTTGGACATACATATAATAAAATAGGTTAAACAAAAAACTTAAGACTCTTATTAGGTTAGGAGTTCTAAACTATATAATTACCACCAATTAATTTTTTTATAGGTTCATTAATTTAGTAGAAAATAGGAAAACTTCGAATAAAGACTCCTGCCTTTTAGGTTTAGGAGTCCTTAATCTTTGTGTAAATATAATTAGGAAATAATACTCATGTACATACAAAATTTCAACTTCAAATCATCATGCCACATTTATGCAAGCTGTGCAACAATTTGGTGAAGGTGTTGAAATCGAGGAGGATGGATCTTCATGCCACATTTATGCAAGCTGTGCAACAATTTGGTGAAGGTGTTGAAATCGAGGAGGATGGATCTTCATGCCACATTTATGCAAGTTGTGCAACAACTTGGTGAAGGTGTTGAAATCGAGGTGGATGGATCTTCATGCCACATTTATGCAAGTTGTGCAACAACTTGGTGAAAGTTTTGAAATCGAGGAAGATGGATCTTCATGCCAAATTTATGCAAATTGTGCAACAACTTGGTGAAGGTGTCAAAATCGAGGAGGATGGATCTTCATGCCA